GGATGATGCAACAGAGTGAAACAAGAGTATGTCACATTCATTGTCCAGTAGCATGCGGAGATCATTTGAAAGACAATGGTTGAACCCGCCCCACAACCGAGAGCCATCAATGAGTGTGTTTACATGCAGCCAGTAACCCTTTTAAAACCTGAATATTCACAAAAACCCGGTTCCGCAGGTCTATGTAAACACCGCCAAAAACCCGGATATGTTTTAAAAAACCCGGTTACTACACCTGGGGTAACCCTTTTCTAACCTGAATGTTTGGCCGTGTAAACGCATACCGGGATATCCCCATCAAAGCGTGTGTTCTGCGCATGCTCTGTTCGCAAGCAATCTTGGTCTTTTGAGTAGCGAGACGTCTTGTATGCGCCAGAACACCGGAAGTAAACAACAAGTTGGGAGCAACATGGCGAGTCGCGGCACAGCACCGCACTTTTGGAATGACGAGGAAACTAAAGCGCAAACAAACACGGTCGCTGTCTCTTCCGAACTGGGAAACATGTTGTTATTTTCACAGAGACCCGAACAAGAAGAACCGGAAATGACGCATATTGGGTCTGGACGTAGTCCATCCGTCCTGACGCTACCCCAACGTCCGCATTTAAATCGGGTTATGCAAGTTAGGGGTAACTCTTTCTATTTATGCTTGTAAACGGGTTATTCTGATCAACTCAGAAACCCGAATACTGACCTTAACCTGATCATAACCTGGATATTGGCTGCATGTAAACGTGGTCAATGGAGCATTGCCAGACTAAATAATACATTTATTTAGTCTGGCTTGCCAGGCTAGTCTTTAGCAGTCTTTCAACCTCCAAATGTCCATCTTTACCCTGCTACTGAACACCTGAACCAGTGAGCTATGTTGCATTTCTTTAAAACAGCTTTCATGAAAGGAGAAATGTGCAAGAATTTGACAAAACAGTCTATTCCCAATCATGTTTGAAAGAAGGTTACATTGAAACAGATTCCCTTCTCAACTGGCTGGGGAACTCTCAGTTTGTCTCTTAAAAAAAAAAGAGGGACGTGGTTGTGTCACGATCGAGGTGGATGGATGGTGCCACTAATATTAAAAGGAGATTAAAATAGGTTCTAAAAACAAGGCAAGCAGTGCGACAGCCAAATCAAATTAGAAAAAGGAATTTTTTCCGAAAGCTCGCGGATGATGATGCCCAAAATTAACTCCTAAATAAAGTCTTAGCTGGGCCTCAGGGGACAAAGCAGTCCAGTCCAGCCCTGCGTGAGCTTGACAGGGAAGCCTTTACAACCGAGTAGTGATAAAGGTTGATTTGAGACAATTAGCCAGGCATCAGGGGCTCCAGACATTGACGTGATTGTGGGACCAGTTGATATGAGGGTTGGGTAATGACAGCCATGGATGCCCAAGGATCACCGGGGCCTGAGGAGAGGGGAAATCTTAAGCCGGGCGTACACTGTGTGACTTTTTCATTTTTTTGAGCCGATTTTCCACTCGTGCGAGAATCCGCGAGATCGGGGCGAGTTTTACGCCGAGCGTCGTGTAGTGTACAGGGGGTTTTGAGAGGCGATTAACACCACGTGACCAGCTACCGATCAGCAATCGTGAGCTTGCACGGACTTCTGGCGTGCTTAATATTTTGCTCGTCCCTCGTGAGGGTATCGCACTGTTGAAGCAGCGCTGCGAGCAGCTGCGACCCAAAATGTATCAGAACCGCTCACGGCGCATGCGCAATCCTGCATCAACACCGCTCACCCGCTATTTCCCTAATAACACACGTTGTTTGTTTTAATTTCTACACGTTTTTTTACTCACAAAGATTGTCAAGAAAGCGTGTTTGTTGTGTTCATGTCAAATTAAACTGATCACAAAACACAGATTTACTTTCTTTATTTTGTTTTCCTCATCCAACCCCCATGAATCCCTGTGTGTCCTCCTGCAGCACTCTGAGCCGGAGTCCAAGATGCCCTCACGGTTAAGCGCCCCCTCTAGGGCCACCGGAATGTGAGGTTTCTCATTAGGACCCTCACGGACGATACTGCAGAGAAACCTTAGTGAAAGTCTAACCGGTGAGCTAGGCTCGCCAGGTTTGGTGGCAGGTGCTTTGGATGCTAGAGAACCAGCACTGATGGAAGCGACTACACCAGACATTGCGGAGGTCACAGGTGTCATCGGACGCGTCGTTGTGGCAGGCTTCACCTCTGCAGGACCTGCTTCTACAACCAAGCCACGTGCTGGTTCAGGAGGTGGAGGAGGGTCTGCCTAAGAGATGGACAGAACCGACTCACATACCGATGGATCTTTCAACAAGGCCCGACGAGCAGAAGTCAGTGCGGCGCGAACCGTTCCAGGAGATCATCTCCTAGAATCAGCTCTCGGCCTTGGGGCAGGACTGTAGTCTCTGCGACCACGAAGTGGTGAATACCGGTCAGAGGGAGATCGGCACTCGCCTGAGCGAGACGACTCTCTCCTAGAGGAGTATGATGAACCAGCCGGTGGGGGGGGCTCCGAGCTCTGGTGAAACTCTGAGAACTGTTAGTGGAAAAGCCTCGGGGCTTGGAGTTGTTATAGGACTTCTTGGCCTGTGATTTGGCAGCAGGTCTGCAGTTATTACCTTTAAGAGTCGCTGATGTAGTCCCTTCGAGTCGCAGCGTGGAGGGATCTGCCTCCACCACCAGGACCGAAGGGGTGTCTTTAGACTTAATTGACTCTGAACCGCCTGAAGCTATAACTTGCCATCCTCCTGAGATCGTCCATGGTTTTGACTCGAAGGACTACCACACCCATATAGGGACCATACTGAGGATGCAAATTGTCAAGGAAAAGCTCTTTAAGGCCTTTTTCATCTTCCATCCCCTTCTTACATTCTGAACCAAAGTACAGGTCAAAGAGGCGTAGGTAAAAAGCTTGTGGGTTTTCAGAACAACCTTGTTTGCCAAAGCTAACTTTAGACTAGCTTCTTTAGCATCAAAAGTATATTATCTTCGAATTGTAGCTTCTAGCCAGTCGTAATCATTTGCAATCGCATCTTGTTGGCAATCAGTGAACGAACCCACTGCATCGGAGGTTAACCTTATCAGAAAGATCTTCTTGTCACGGTTTGCCTCCACCTAGTGGTGGATTTTTCTGTTTTGTTTTGTGTTGCAGGTAGGCGCGGCAGACGGCACACCTGTTGGGTGTTTGACTAATTGAGGGAGAGAGGATTTAAGGAGCGGTGCGACTCAACTCCAGTGCCGGTTGATACTCTCACATGGGTATTTCTCTAGCCTCTGAACCTGCCTGCTTGTTTTGTGATTCCATGATTATAACCTTGAACTCCGTTCCAGTATCCTGTTCGTGCATCACCTACCTTGCCTGGAGTTGTTCCCACGTCTCGCCGCTCAAAGATCCTCTGGACTCCTCTCTCCACATCTGCCCGCCTGCCTCACGCTCTGAACTCCTCATCCGGTCCAACCTTCCTCAGTTCACCTCCGCTCTGGTTCCGATTCCTGACCGTAAGAACTCTCTCAGTCACAGACTCTTGCCCCCTGGTTCTCTGGTTCTGGTCTCGCTCACCTTCTGCTTATTTCCCCGTAGATTCCGGTCTCCTCCTGATCCTGATCTGAAGCAGCGCCTTTAGTTTAGTTTTGCCTATTCTGTTATTATTTTCTCATTGTAAATAAACCACCATATTTTTACTCACCGTCCCTCTGATGTGATTCTTCATGTCCTGGGTGAAAGCTCTTACCCACAGCATGACAGAATCAACCGGCCAGATAAACACCCCCATTGAAGAATCACTTCCCGCAGCCTTAGCAAACACATTAACTCAGCATGAAGGATCCATTCATTCCGCCCTCGATCAGTTGTCACTTGTTAACCAGCGTTTATTCCAGCTCGATTCCGCACTCCACCAGGTAAACGAGAGACTCACACCATCCTCTGCGGCTGTTCCTGTAGCTTCTCTCCTGGCTCCACTTCCTGTTCCGCATCACGGGGTCGGTTTCCGAGTTGCGCAATCCCCGCAACCAGAGACATTCGCCGGTGAACCTGAAAGATGCCATGGTTTTTTATTACTTTGTGAATTAGCTTTCAACAGATCGCCTGAGACGTTTGTAAATGATGCAATTAAGATTTCTTATATTGTCAGTCTGTTGCGTGGTAAAGCTCTACAATGGGCTGAGGCCAGGAGTCGGCAACCAACCTTTCTGCTAGGTCCATTTGCAGCCTTCTTAGCTGAATTCAAACAGGTTTTTGATAAATCAGAATCCCCAGCCGAAATCGCCGAGCAAATCTGGAGTCTCCAGCAGGGCCGACAATCTGTAGCAGATTTTGCCATTGACTTCCGTACTCTTGCCTCCCTGTCCTCACTAGATGAACCATCACTTAGAGCTGCATTTTCTCACGCGCTTAATGATCGGATTAAGGATCAATTAGCGTTTTGCCAGGAACCAGAGAACCTAGAGTCCCTAGTCCAGTTAGCGGCCAACATCGAGAGACGTTTAAAGGAGAGACTCAGGACACAGAACCTCAGACCAATCCCTGACCATGCTCCACCACGATCACATCACCCTCATCCCTCTCCGGCTCATCCTGAAGAACCGATGCAGATAGGTCGAGCGAATCTAACCCCTGAGGAGAAGGAGAGACGTCGCTCTTTGGGTCTCTGCATTTACTGTGGGCAGCCGGGGCACATGCTGCAGTATTGTCCGGTTCGACCAAAAGCCAGGGCCCATCAGTAGAATCTGGGTTACTGATGGGTGGCCTTCCTGGAAATCAGAAATCCCGGTGCAGCTTAACATGTTCTGTTTCCTATAACCAACAGACTTTCTCAACCCAGGCGTTGGTGGACTCTGGATGTGAGAGGAGTGTTCTGGACATAACAGTGGCTCGACAGCTCAACATTCCCACCATTCCTCTCTCTACCCCCATCCATGTTTCCTCATTGGATGGCTGTGCTCTCACAACCATAACTCATCGCACTGTTCCAGTTACTATGCAGATTTCGGGTAACCATCACGAGACTTTGAGCTTCTATATTTTTCCTTCACCTCAATCGCCAGTGGTTTTGGGTCATGAATGGTTAATTCTACACAACCCACAGATAGACCCGAAAACCGTGTTGGTTTCTGTATGGAGTTCCTTCTGCCTGTCTCAGTGTCTCCTTTCAGCTCCTCTTCCAGCCCAGATCACCAATAACACTCCTCCGGAACCACCTGACCTTACTGGGGTGCCCGCCGAATATCACAACCTACAACAAGTCTTCAGTAAGGATCGAGCCTCCTCTCTACCTCCTCATCGCCCGTATGATTGCAGTGTTGACCTCATCCCGGATGCCATCTTACCTACCAGTAAGCTATACAGCCTGTCTAAACCCGAACAAGCCTGCATGTCTGATTACATTTCAGAATCCCTAACGTCCGGAATCATACGACCATCCACTTCTCCCCTGGGTGCTGGATTCTTTTTCGTTTCCAAGAAGGATGGCTCGCTCCGCCCCTGCATTGACTACCGTGGTTTGAATCTGATTACCGTTAAGAATAAGTATCCACTACCTCTCCTATCTTCCACGTTCGAACCCGTAAATGATGCTTAAATTTTTACAAAATTAGATCTACGCAACGCCTACCATCTGGTCAGAATTCGTGAGGGTGACGAATGGAAGACGGCATTTAAGACAACGTTAGGTCACTTCGAATATCTAGTAATGCCATTTGGTCTCACCAACGCACCTGCTGTATTCCAGTCCCTAGTCAACTCAGTGTTGGGCGATTACATTAACCAGTTCGTGACAGTTTACCTGGACGACATCCTCATTTTTTCCAGAAACTTGACTGAACATCGCCAACATGTCCGCGCGGTGCTCCAGCGCCTCCTGGAGAACCGGCTGTACGTTAAGGCGGAGAAATGTGAATTTCACGTTCCTTCAGTGAAATTCTTAGGTTTTGTGCTGGAACATGGGAAACTAAAGACTGATCCTGATAAGATCACTGCTGTCTCGTCCTGGCCCACTCCGACTACCCGTAAGCACCTCCAGAGGTTCTTAGGTTTTGGCAACTTTTACCGCAGATTCATTCGAGACTACAGCCGGATAGCTCTTCCATTAACCCAGCTCACCTCCATCAAGAGACCATTTCTATGCACTGAGGAGGCTAACCAGGCTTTCCTTACTCTGAAGGAGAGATTCGCTCACGCACCCATCCTCACTTGCCCGGATCCATCAGCTCCATTCACCATGGAGGTTGACGCCTCTGACACCGGGGTTGGAGCTGTCCTGTCCCAAGTTTCATCCTCTGATCAGCTTCTCCATCCCTGCGCGTTCTATTCCCGGCGTCTTTCCCCAGCCGAGCAGAACTATGATGTTGGTGATCGGGAGTTGTTGGCGGTGAAGCTGGCTTTGGAGGAGTGGCGTCACTGGTTGGAAGGAGCAGAACACCCGATTACCATTTGGACAGATCATAAAAACCTATCATACCTGAAGGAGGCTAAAAGACTCAATCCCCGTCAATCCCGTTGGTCCATGTTTTTCTCCAGATTTAACTTTACCATCTCTTACAGACCCGGTTCAAAGAACGTTAAACCAGACGCCCTTTCTCGACAATATGCCTCCGACAGGGAAGTGGAGCCTTCCACCATCATCCCTGCCTCCTGCATAGTCGGCTCTATCACATGGGACATTACCAACACGGTCCTGGAGGCTCAACGGCAGGAACCCGACCCAGGTACCGGTCCTCCTAATAAGATTTTTGTTCCCACCAGCACCCGGGGCCCACTCATTCACTGGGCCCACACCGCCAAGTTCTCCATTCATCCAGGTCTGGGAAGGACCATCTCTCTAATCATAAGGACATTTTGGTGGCCCTCCATGTACCGGGATGTTAAGGAGTATATCAGTGCCTGTCAGGTATGTGCCAGACACAAGTCTAGTAACCAGCCTCCTCAGGGTCTTCTCCAACCTCTGCCTGTGCCCCATCGACCATGGTCTCATATTGCTCTGGACTTCGTTACTGGTCTTCCTCTGTCTAAGGGCTTCACCGTCATACTCACCATTGTCGACTGCTTCTCAAAAGCCTGTCATCTGGTTCCCCTGAAATCCCTTCCTTCTTCTACCGAAACAGCCAACCTGCTCATCAAACACCTTTTCCGCCTGCATGGATTACCCAGCGAGATCCTCTCTGATCGTGGACCTCAGTTCGTTGCCCGAGTGTGGACTGACTTTGCTAAACACCTGGGAGCCAAGGTTAGTCTCACCTCTGGTTTTCACCCTCAGACTAACGGGCAGGTGGAGCGCATGAACCAGGAACTGGAGGCTATGCTGCGCTGCATCTGTTCCTCCAACCCTGCCAGATGGAGTGTGCAATTACCATGGGTGGAATACGCCCATAACTCCCACACGTCGTCATCCACAGGTCAGTCTCCCTTCGAGGTCTCGCTTGGGTACCAACCCCCTCTGTTTCCCTCCGACTCTGCTTCCTCCACCTCAGTTCCTCAGTTCCTGCGCCGAGCCCGCCGCACTTGGAATCAGACCCGTACAGCGCTCCAGCGTACCGCGGAGCGCAATCGCCGGATTGCTGACCGCCACAGGCGGCCTGCACCCACCTACGCTCCGGGTCAGTTGGTCTGGCTCTCTTCCCGGAACATCAAGGTTCGTGGATCTTGCCGGAAGTTCTCTCCCCGCTTCCTGGGTCCTTTCCCTGTGGCCAAAGTCCTGGGTCCGGTCTCTGTCCGCCTGGAGTTGCCCCCCTCCATGCGGGTGCATCCAGTCTTCCACGTCTCCCTCCTCAAGCCGGTGGTGTCCAGCCCTCTGTGCCCTCCTGACGCTCCTCCTCCGCCTGTCCGCCTCGCCGACGGGAGTGTCGGTTACCGTGTGCGTCGCATCCTGGATGTTCGACCGCGGGGTCGCGGCCGGCAATTCCTGGTAGACTGGGAGGGCTACGGCCCCGAAAACCGGCAGTGGGTGCCTGGGTCCTGGATCGATGATGTCTCCCTCATTGATGACTTCGAGGCCTCCCGTGCTTCCTCCTCCTCCGCCTTCTCCTCCTCTGCTGGGCCGCCGGGTGGCGTCCCTTGAGGGGGGGGCACTGTCACGGTTTGCCTCCACCTAGTGGTGGATTTTTCTGTTTTGTTTTGTGTTGCAGGTAGGCGCGGCAGACGGCACACCTGTTGGGTGTTTGACCAATTGAGGGAGAGAGGATTTAAGGAGCAGTGCGACTCAAATCCAGTGCCGGTTGATACTCTCACATGGGTATTTCTCTAGCCTCTGAACCTGCCTGCTTGTTTTGTGATTCCATGATTATAACCTTGAACTCCGTTCCAGTATCCTGTTCGTGCATCACCTACCTTGCCTGGAGTTGTTCCCACGTCTCGCCGCTCAAAGATCCTCTGGACTCCTCTCTCCACATCTGCCCGCCTGCCTCACGCTCTGAACTCCTCATCCGGTCCAACCTTCCTCAGTTCACCTCCGCTCTGGTTCCGATTCCTGACCGTAAGAACTCTCTCAGTCACAGACTCTTGTCCCCTGGTTCACTGGTTCTGGTCTCGCTCACCTTCTGCTTATTTCCCCGTAGATTCCGGTCTCCTCCTGATCCTGATCTGAAGCAGCGCCTTTAGTTTAGTTTTGCCTATTCTGTTATTATTTTCTCATTGTAAATAAACCACCATATTTTTACTCACCGTCCCTCTGATGTGATTCTTCATGTCCTGGGTGAAAGCTCTTACCCACAGCATGACACTTCTCCTCAAGATCCACTCCAGGAGATTTCTGAAAATGGTGGCAAAGGTCAATAAGATACGTATCAACTGGGTATGAATTACCTGGTCAAGGACTGAATTTCT